AATTACAAAACATAAAATTTCATTAATTTTTGTAACATATTTCTCTCTCTCTCTCTCTCTCTCTCTCTCTCTCTCTCTCTAATACATTTAATATAAAATCTAGGGAACTGAATATAAAGTTTAATATAAAGTAATTGCACAGATATTAGAAATTTCTTCATCTTTGAATATTTTAAAATGTTTTAAAAATGTCTTAAATTATATTAATGTTCGAGCTTTCTCCTTCTTTTACGTCCTTCGTACTTTTTTGTAAATAATAATTGGTTCTTAATTCCCTGTAACTGTTTAACAATATATTTGCCATACATTTTAAAATATCCAGTACAATTTGTGCGTGAATATAACCACAAATATATGTATCATTGAATATGTTGTCAGTTAAATCATTAATATTCAAACTTTTTGTAACTAAATTAATTAATAACTGTTACTGATGTGTATCACTTACAAAGCATTTTCATACTCGTTTGTTAAATATTGCATAATATATTTGTAATGTGTATATTTTTTAACCAATTAAAATTAATGTATCAGATGAAATTGTCAGATTACCCACGTTTAAATCTAAAAAGTATGTTAATGATATCATAATTTTTGAATTCAACAAATTCGCAGCATAAATTACATTGTAACTGATATTTTAAATGCAGCATATTTACAAATGTATATTAATGCAGGATTATCAGTGTTAATAATACCCATAAAATTATAATGAACAATTTTTTAAAATCAGTGTAATTATCTATTAGAATTATTAAAATTATTAACATCATCTGCAAATATTGTTAAAGCATCAAGTGAGAAATTATACAAAATATTAGAAATAATTGACTTTGCCAAAAATATGCTGAAAAATTTTTTATATATATTTCCCTCATTCTATGAACATGATAAAATATTAGTTGCAAAATTTTCAGATTTCTGATCAAGACACTTGTATCATAAAGGATGCAAGCAGTTAATTAAGTTAGCACTCAAATTAAATTTTAAAACTATTTTTCCAAGTACGTTAGATCGACAAAAAGTGAGTTTAGTAAATAATATTAGTCATGAAAGTATACTTGCTGCAGTCAATCATGAAATAAACAATTATATTTCACTGAATGAAGTCCCAAAAAGTACTTTTAGTTCTTTTTTGTCCGATTTAATAATCTGAATATATGATAAATGATAATTGCCATCAGAAAATTCGATAGTGACTAAATCTATTTTATAGGTTGTCAATTTGTAATTTTCCAGGCAGTACATAATCAACATTTAATTCAATTAATAAAATCTATCAATACTCACATTCTGATAAAGTGCATTAAAGGTATCTATAGTTAAAATACCATGATTTAAATTCAAAGCTTTCCAACTAGTTAACATGATAAAAAATGATTAAGAAAAATAATGCGATCATCATTTTCACAAGTAAAAATTGCTTCTAAGGATTTTTGTGTAAAATTGATTTTACAGAATATTTAATGCTGATTATTATCCACCATTTTTTATTATATTTATAAAAATGTTGTTGTTCCCGATTCAAAACCTTATTCATGATTGACTGCAGCAAGTATACTTTCATGAAAAATATTATTTACTAATATTATTTACTAAACTCACTTTTTGTTGATCTAACGTACTTGGAAAAATAGTTTTAAAATTTAATTTGAGTGCTAACTTAATTAACTGCTTGCATCCTTTATGATACAAGTGTCTTGATCAGAAATCTGAAAATTTTGCAACTAATATTTTATCATGTTCATAGAAATATATGAGGGAAATATATGTATAAAAAATTTTTCAGCATATTTTTGGCAAAGTCAATTATTTCAAATATTTTTAAATATATGTGCACTATCCTGTGTTAAAAATGTTTTAAAGTATTTGAAAAATGATAAGTGAAATTATTATCAGAATTTGGCTCTTTAAACATTACACGATTCACTCTATTATTATCAGTAATAATTGCAATAACTTTAAAACTGCAAGCTATAACCAACTTATATACTTCTTCTGTATAAGACGTTATTTCATTACCTTTCACCTTAAATGATATCAATGACACAATTCAATTTCCTTGAATGATCCAAATGCTGAAGATATTATGAAGGCTATACAAATTTTAGCTGCAGATGTTGTATCATTACTCACATAAAAAAGAGCCTTCCTAAATAATTTTTTCTATTTAAAACACTAAATGTTATAGGACATAATAACTTCTACACTAAATTGTATTCGCTTTTGTTAAAAACGCTACATATAAGAAATTTTTAGCAACGTGAAATCAACTGCAGAGCAAATTCGCTTGGCCGGCACGCAACGTTGCCAAATTTATGCCGTCGCGGCCTGGAAATAAAGATGGCCGTGGATTATGGCGCGTCTGTCGAAGGCATTACGAGTCGATGGAGAGGGGGAGATACATTCTTGCGTAACGCATATAGTGATGGGGGCAGTCTGAACTCTTATTCGATCAGTTCGATCAATTCGCTTCGGTCGAATGCAGAAGCATTTGAAGAAACGAGTCTCACGACAGTGCTGCGGTAGTAAGCATCCAGAGAGTCTCGTGAGTAGTAATCAGCTCGTATCGTAAGAGAACGAAAAATCAGATTCGCTATTCACGATAGTGTTCTTCGTGATTCGCGATTGCGTGGTCTATGTTCGCGAACTTGGACAAAAAAGTATATCCTTGGCTGGATATATCAGGCCGGCTGCGACGGCGTACGGATCGTTTAGTTCTCATCTCCGCATTCGTATCGGTCGTCGCGTTCGTCTGGAGAGAAACTTTGTGCGTGTGTCCATATCAAACGAACATAATTTAAACTTATTCTTAGTTTTAAATCGCGAACCAAACACTCAGTTAAATAGTGTTCTGAAAGGTAATCGACATTGATTCGGTTACTATGAAGAACAACAAAATGGATCAAGAACAAGAAACCCCCCTGGATCTCTCCCTAAATTCGGGGGGATCTGCGATTCTAAGAGATCTTAGATCAACAGATGGTCAACATAACACGAGCCATTATCCTCAAAGTTATATGATACCTGACAGATCTGAAAGCAATTTGAACTGGTGGATCCACCAAGGTCGAGTAAGTTAATGTTTCTTTTAAAACTAAATTAAATTCGGAGTCGGCAAACGGCCCTTGTGAGATTATTGTCACTCCTGTCGACCCGCGCACTGAGCTAGCAACGGCATTGTTGCTAGCGGGCCGCATTGTTACTAATGGGCTGCATTGTTGCTAGCAGGAACGCTTTTTTTCGCGCAGGTAATTTCAACAACATATCAAGTACACAAGAATACGGATATCTTTAGAATCTCCAGATAAGCTACTAGATTTTATAGAGAGATACATAATTATTAGGTTTATAATATTGTAAGTAAAACAAAAAGTGTAATTAAAATAAGATAAAAAAGAAATTATAAATATAAGAATAATTATATGTAATTAATTGTAATTATAAATGGGGAAGGATATTAAGATAATTTTAATCTTTTTATGTATTTTGAATAAAATATTTTATTTGGCAGAATCATAAGAATATTAACATTTCTTGCAAGGATAAAGAAAACTGCCAAAAACCTTACCAGTATTTTTTACGAAAATATATTTTATAAATATGATTTATAATAAAATTAACTCAATATAAAAAAAATTATTTCTTCCATAAAAAAAGTACGCAATTATAATTAATAAGCAAATTATAAAAATCTAATAAACAACAAATTATCACAGTGAAATAATAAACAGAATATTGCACATTGTTTATTGTAGTAATGGTAATGACTAATAATAATGAAAACCAAGTTATTCAAATAAAAATGAACAGAAAGAAAATAATATTATGAACGTCCTCTACCATCTTACAAGTGTCATTTTATAATTGTTGCAACGTACGTGTGGCTTGGCATAGTAGTAGGCCGGGCGGTCGCGCATATTCGGTAATCCTTAGGAACTAATATCTCATTAACTATTGCAAAATCTGTAAAATTTGTCAAGCTGTATAGTTTCAAATATAAATAATTAAAAAAAAATATTACTAAACAAATTATTCCAGATATTGGCACTGTCATGTTCTAATGAGTCGAGATTAAGCATATGGCTTTGAGCATAGAGCCTGATGATTTGTAATAAAGTACCCATCTTTCCTCTCGAAAAGGATTAGGCACGCTAAAAAGTTCAATATTTTTGTTGGCACATATCAGTAAATACTAAAAATTTACATTAATTCTCTAATGTTTAAGATTTTATAAAAAAAAATTTTAGCATTAAGGAAGCTAAAAAAATTTTCAATTTCATAAAGTTAATAAATTAATTTGCGTTATCCGATGTCGTCGAAGTAAGATGTACTTTATTCTTTCCAATTTGCTTCAATTTTAATTAAGAGACTACTGTATTCCACCACGATTTGGATTTCTATTTTCTTGCGTTTTTTCTCTCTCTTTTTTATTAACAGACTCTCAACACATCTGATATAACTGATGAGAGTACTACTTTCTTACTACTTCGATTTCCGATTTAATTGATTCGCAGCATTACACAATATGAAGAATACATGAAAATGTATTTTACACTTATAACGAATTTTGTAATATTATTATATGTGTTTACCGTTGCATTGAGAATGACGCCATTGAAACACATGTTTTGTTTTTTGTAATTATTATATTAGTTTCATGAATTAAGTTAAAGTTCTTTGCTACATTACTGACTCTTTTGCCTCTATTGTTTAATAAATTAAAGTTTAAAAGTAACTAAATTAAGTTCAAAATGAATGCATTTAACTAAGTTAAAAGTTATTAACTGTTTTTTAACTTTTTTTTTAATTAGTTTCTAACCAATCCAGCCAACTACTCTGGTGAAAGTTATATGATACCAGGCAGATGTGAGAGCGACTTAAACGTCAGCGATCCTGGACCGAGTACGAGTTCATCTAGAGATATAATGCCACGGAATGAACCGCGGCAGACGATCAAGCAATGATTGAGATCAAATAAAGATAAATTAAACGCCATTATGAGAGTTCATAATGGTGAGTCGAAGGCGGCTGTGGCACGCGACATCGATGTGCCAGAGTCCACTCTTAGAGGATGGTGTAAGGCAGAAGAAAAAATAATATTGCAAGTAAACAACATAACAGCTAATCATAATAGTCTTCACCATCCACATGTACCGCCTCCAAATAGCGCAACAGGAGTGACATTTATCGCTGTGACAAAAAATGATTCCGATATCTCGCCACCGGATTGCAACAAAATGGTGGAGTATTGCGAGAAATTGTTACAGTGGTTGCACTGTTATGTGGTACGCCAATAACGACAATGAAAGAAGGGGATCACTTACAACATATTTTGGCACATCTGCAAGAAGTGAACAAGGAACTAACGTAATGAACTATAGCAACAGTAATTATATATCTAACATATATTTGTGAATATTGTTTTAAATGAACATATATTTACAAGTTTTATCTTTGTATAAAACCGAAATATAGAAAAAATTAAAAAAAAATAGAAAGACATTTAAAAATCCGTAAAGTATGTCTGTATTTTGAAATCCTTAGAAAAGTAATCCTTATTATATTTTAAAGAATATTTTTAATCAAATTATCGTCTGAAATCTTAAGCTAAATATTATCAAAATAAAAAATTCAATTGCTCTCAATCTATCTATCTATATTCTGTCTCTGTAATAATTTATGTATATATTCTGATCCTTAATGTATATTACGAATTTGATACACGTATCTACAAATTTCTTAATCGCGTCATGTTCTCATAGATCATAAGAATTATACATAAAATTGGTTGGAACTAACGGAACGAGATAGCTGTAGCAATTATATACATTTGTAATATATACAGCTAATATATATTTGTAAATATATATATTGACATCTTGCTTTAAAAAACCGTAAATAACGATATAGAACTTATGCTGTAAGGATTGAGTTTCGCTCAATTATCTTAAGGATAAAGCCTATAGACTGCGCAAAAACAGTTTAAGGATAGCAATTATTGTCACTTAATCTCTTACGATTTAAGACATCCTCTTAAAACAAGGTTGTAGATCGAGACTATTTAAATGCGTTATTATTATATTTAATACTTTCATTTTTTTTTGCGTTTTTGAAAATATGTTTGACAAATCGCATTAACGAACACGATGAAAGTCCTTTTTTCCTACGTCTTAACGTAGTGTCGTATTTAGTTTTACATTGAGGAATTTATTATTTCTCAATAACAATTATCAAATATTTCAAATTCATCATTTATTAATTAATTTATCATCATTTATTAATTAATTGATATATAAAAAAATTATTAGGATTGCGTACGATGATGTCATTGAAAAAGGAGACATACAAAAAAGAAAATATCAAATCAAATTCCTTTCCAGATAATTTGTTTACTTACTATAATGAAAGGTTTGCCTAGAGTTGGAGCTGATACTCGATGTGCAAATGACTCAAAAAATAAGAATAATTTTTCTATATATGTAAATTGACTGTTTCCTTGTCCTTCGTTCTTTTTTATAATACTATATATAATTTTGCTTTCCTGCCAAGCCACTGTCGATTCTTGTTTTTGTGGAATAGGCCTACTGCGGAAACCACATTAAAAAAAACGCAACTTACAATAGTACCTCACGGGTGTTGTGGAAAGCTATTGTCGACATGTACGTTATCATAATTATGTATTGTATTAGAAACTATTTAAAATATTAATATGTAATTAAGGAATATATTAACAATATAAAATTTTATGTTAATAGATAAATTTATATTATTTAAAGAAAAACTGTTTCAATAATAATTTAGCGAAAGGTGCGCTCATAGTATATTCCTGGTTAGGGACGCTCCTGAGTCAGAGCATCACGTCAGCCTAGCCACCGAGACACGAGCGTTAGCGGGGGTTGCGGGTCGGAAACGGAGCGAAATGTGCAAATCCTTGCGAGCACTGTCCTACAAGATGCAATTTGGTGCCTCATCAAACAGATTTTATGTTAATTTATATAAATTTGTAATATTAACCTTTACCCTACAAAATACAATTTGGTGCCTCATCCAAACTGAGGATGAGTAGTATCGTCCGTTTTGTTCTCCTATTCAAAATGATTCAAAAAATCTAATATATATTTGTAAATATATATGTTGACTAACCGACTAACCTATATAATATAATAAATGTATACTAAAATTTAAATATTCTGCATTTCAATTTTCTTCCTTCAACGTCGGCACGAACTTTCCAGACAACCCAATATATATATCTAATTAAACGACTTGATAATATTCATGAAATCAAATAAGTAAAAATTCGAATTCTTTATGACAGATTAATTTAGTAATATCTCCCACACTATTCAGTATTTATTACTGTGTAATTTAACTGTATTTATCAATTTGATTATACTTATTATAGGATTTAGTAATAATCAACTAGCTTTATGATCAATTTCCAAATCTTAGTTAAATTATTTAGTAATAGTTACCAAATTTTTTATTTTATTTATATATTAATTGAACATATCAGTGAAATTGTTTCATCAAAGTGTAGTGAAGTGTATTTAGTAATTATCATCTAGGTTAGATTACATTGTGATTAATTCTAAGTTTTTCAGTATTGCCTTGTTCACATCTTGCTTTAAAAAGCTGTAAATAACGATATAGAACTTATGCTGTAAGGATTGAGTTTCGTTCAATTATCTTAAGGATAAAGCCTATAGACTGCGCGAAAACAGTTTAAGGATAGCAATTATTGTCACTTAATCTCTTACGATTTAAGACATCCTCTTAAAACAAGGTTGTAGATCGAGACTATTTAAATGCGTTATTATTATATTTAATACTTTCATTTTTTTTTGCGTTTTTGAAAATATGTTTGACAAATCGCATTAACGAACACGATGAAAGTCCTTTTTTCCTACGTCTTAACGTAGTGTCGTATTTAGTTTTACATTGAGGAATTTATTATTTCTCAATAACAATTATCAAATATTTCAAATTCATCATTTATTAATTAATTTATCATCATTTATTAATTAATTGATATATAAAAAAATTATTAGGATTGCGTACGATGATGTCATTGAAAAAGGAGACATACAAAAAAGAAAATTTCAAATCAAATTCCTTTCCAGATAATTTGTTTACTTACTATAATGAAAGGTTTGCCTAGAGTTGGAGCTGATACTCGATGTGCAAATGACTCAAAAAATAAGAATAATTTTTCTATATATGTAAATTGACTGTTTCCTTGTCCTTCGTTCTTTTTTATAATACTATATATAATTTTGCTTTCCTGCCAAGCCACTGTCGATTCTTGTTTTTGTGGAATAGGCCTACTGCGGAAACCACATTAAAAAAAACGCAACTTACAATAGTACCTCACGGGTGTTGTGGAAAGCTATTGTCGACATGTACGTTATCATAATTATGTATTGTATTAGAAACTATTTAAAATATTAATATGTAATTAAGGAATATATTAACAATATAAAATTTTATGTTAATAGATAAATTTATATTATTTAAAGAAAAACTGTTTCAATAATAATTTAGCGAAAGGTGCGCTCATAGTATATTCCTGGTTAGGGACGCTCCTGAGTCAGAGCATCACGTCAGCCTAGCCACCGAGACACGAGCGTTAGCGGGGGTTGCGGGTCGGAAACGGAGCGAAATGTGCAAATCCTTGCGAGCACTGTCCTACAAGATGCAATTTGGTGCCTCATCAAACAGATTTTATGTTAATTTATATAAATTTGTAATATTAACCTTTACCCTACAAAATACAATTTGGTGCCTCATCCAAACTGAGGATGAGTAGTATCGTCCGTTTTTTTCTCCTATTCAAAATGATTCAAAAAATCTCTAAAAATTCACCATACTTTTAACTTTCTAGAATAAATATTGGAACTTCATTTTGGAAAATAACAAAATGTAGTATAATTTGTAATTATCGAAAGATTCAAAGGAACTTACAAGAACAGGAATCGGTCGGCCACTATAGTGACCTCTCACTTGTAGGGTAAGAATTAATCTTTCTTAAAAAATGAAAATAAAATGTAAAATTTATTTAAAAAGATATATGAGTGAAATATGAAATCAATGCATCATATTCCCATACAGCAAAAATCTTTCAGAGATATTTCAGAAATGTTTCACGTGTGAAACTAAAATATCTCAGAAAAAATGCGAAATGTTTCTGCAACAGCTTTGACAAGAGAACCTCGCGAGGTATCAAATTCTGATTTTAATGAAATTTATTTGTGTACTTGTAGCTTACATTAAGAGATGAGTTTGAAAATATCAGTTGCAGCCAGAAAATGAAGGAGTGAAATCATCTGGTATATTAAAGTGATGTTTAGCTTTTTTCACTGTATCTGAAAAACTATTGAAGATATAAAAAAATATATCATACAAAAAATTTTACAATAAAGTTGCCTTTATTTGATGATGTCAATGATATTTTTTTAGAATATTTATTAAAAAATTTATTTTTGAAAATTTTGAAAAATAATGATTTTTAAAAAATATTATCAACGCAAATGAATATAGCTAATTTTGTTATAAAACTTTTGTATAAAACATTTTTTGTCTCTAATAGTTTTTGAGAAACGACGGAAAAAGCTGAATTTATAACGCTTAACATATAAGGGATGATTTCACTTCCCTTTAAACTTAAACTTTAGCTGCAACTGATATTCTTTTAAAATTCATCTCTTTATGTAAGCTACAAGTACATCAAATTTCATTAAAATCAGAATTTGCTATCTCACAAGGGAACGCGAGATAAATTATACTATAAAATGTTGTAAACAAGCAAGTAAAAGGATGTAGAATCATAAATCTAAATTTCAATTCATATTATATATTGTTTTGCATATCGATATTCTATCTTATTAACTACAATTAAATATTAAAAAACGCATTGTCGGTAAGAATCTATGATCTCTAAGAACGGTAACTTATACGTTTATGCAGAGCTAATCGCACGATATAGATCGAGAGATATTATCAACCTTACTCACACTTCTTAAACTATTTTTAATGTCTTAATGTTTTTGCTGCAGTTTAATATTATCAATATTTGAGGTGATTGACATGGAAACACGAAATAATACGCTGGTATTTATTAACATAGTTAGGAAATGATAATGACAAAGCGATTGTCCTCAGTCTCGAGAGATCGTTCGACTGGCGGGCGTCGAGCTGCGATCTAAGTGTTGCGTGTTTTCTTTTTGAGCATATGTGATCGACTTTGACTGTGATATAATTCTTATTCCTGTAGTTTTTTTAAGGAAAATGTTAAATT